GGCGGCGCCGGGGCCCCCCCATGGTTGCCCCCCAGGGCCCCGTGGGGCACCCCCCCCCCCAGGGTAGAGACCCCTGACCTCTTAAGTCCGTCCCCGCAACCCCCCTACTGGGATGCATTGACCAGTAGTGCAAAGAAAGCCAGAATCAATGTCCAAATACTACGGGAAAATGGGAGCCGTCATGCGACCACCTGCACCCCGATGGCTGGCCCGATAGCCCCCAGCCCCACTACCTAGGCCAGCGCCCGCCAACGCTCCCCACCCTACCCACTGGCAGGGCTTGTTTGCTGGTTTTTCCCGCCTCGTTTTCCCGCCTTCTCCGGGCTGTCCAAGCGGGCAGGGCTGCCCTGCCCCCTCCGCCCGGCCTGCTCCACTCTGAACAGTCATGGCGGGCACACGAGTGACTGGTCCAGGGCACCTACAAAGCAGCTGGACAGGGCGCTCAGAGCTGAGGAATCCAACAGTGGGCAAGGCAGACCCGGTTGGTGGTCTCTGGGAGGGTAAATTCTTGTTTGGAGAGACAGGCAAGAAATGAATAAATAAAGCAGATTAATTCAGATGATACTATGGGCAAAGAAGACAGGGGAGTCGATCAATGCTGGAGAGTGACCAGCGGCCATGGCGGGGTGGCAAGAGAGGATATACTGGTTGGGGTGAATGCGGTGGGCCTCTCTGAGCAGATGACATTTGAGCCAAGGCCTGAGGTGAGACTCCAAAGGTCTAGAAGGGAAAGACAAGGTCAGAGGCCTGAAAAGACTTAGAGGTGTTTGGGGGGCAGGAAGGAAGGCGGCCAGTGTAGCGGGGGTAGACTGAACCAAGTCGGGGGATGAGGTCAGATGGGTGGCCTCCCTTGAAGGCCACCGGGAGGACTTTGGTCTTTCTCTTCAGAGGAGCAAGTAACACGGAAGGGCTGTGAGCAGAAAAATGTTGAGTTCCAACTTATGTTTTTACCAGGTTTCTCCGGCTCTGTTGAGCACCTTCTCTCTTGCCAGTGGTGTTTCTGCTATTTCCCCATGTGGTCAACAGAATCATGACCCCCAAGAATGTCATGTCCTAAATCCCCAGAATCTGTGATGATGGCACCTTCCATGGCGAAAGGGACTTTGCAGATGTGATTAAGTGAAGGATTTTGAGATGGGGAGATTATCCTGCATAATCCAATGTTGTTACAAGGGTCCGAATAAGTAAAAGAGGCAGGCAGGAGGGTCAAAGTCAGAAGACATGTGAGGTTAGAATAATGAGGCCTCCGCAACCTAGAAAAGGCAAGGGACGGATTCTCCCTAAAATGCAGCACTGCTGACACCTCGATTTTAGCCCCTAAGAATCATTTTGGACCTCTGACCTCCACAACCATAAGATAGTAAATTTGTGTTGTTTCAGACTCTACGTTTCTGGTCATTTGTTATAGCAGCCACAGGAAACTAACACACTCAAATACATGAAGTCCAGTGGATTCTCCCTAAAATGCAGCACTGCCGACACCTCGATTTTAGCCCCTAAGAATCATTTTGGACCTCTGACCTCCACAACCATAAGATAGTAAATTTGTGTTGTTTCAGACACTAAGTTTCTGGTCATTTGTTATAGCAGCCACAGGAAACTAACACACTCAAATACATGAAGTCCAGATGTTTCTGTTAACCATCTCCAACTTCAGGACTCAGTCAATGCTCCTGAAAGCATTTCTGGACTCTCAGCCATCAGCTGTGTATAAACCACGCTACAGGTGCGGGCAGGATTCAAGCAGGCCCACCTGAGCTGGTGAGGTGGACAGTCTTCCAAAGTGAGGGCACCTGCTGCAGAAAGCTGCTCTTCCTATGACAGTGTGTCATCTGTGCCTGCTGTTGGAAAAACTTAACATGGCAGAAAGAGGAAATACACTCTTCATGTATACTTGGTGCAGGGCACAGCCCAGACATCTTGGATATCAGAAGTTGAATAACACAAAAAAAGGTGTCTTGGGGCTGGCAGTTTAGCTCAGTCAGTTAGCGTTGGTGTTCTCACACCAAGGTCAAGAGTTCAGATCCCCATACCAGCCAGCCACCAGGACAAAAAAGAGAGAAAGAGGTGTCTGGTTTTCCCTGCAGAGAAAACCTTGAGGGGTGGTGATTCAGGGTTCCAATTCCCTAGTCATTTTGAGAAAGTCAAAATTTTCTCAAATTTGCTCAGGTTAATAATTGAAAAACATGAATAAGACACTATCCCAGACATCTCAGAAAGAAGCTTACCAATCATGTAGGGGGCACAAGATGTCAATGCTCACAAAAGCTATCATGTGAAACAAAGCAAGATATGAGGGGTCTTCAAAAAGGTCATGAAAAGAGTATATTCTCTTTTTATTCCATTTTCCACGAACTTTTTGAAGTATCCTCGTACAACAAAGATAATGGGTGAAGACTGTGAGTTTGGAGAACGGGTACTTTCTAGCACCTCTTCTGCTTTAACATTCCTCCCATTTAGGCACCAGCCCACGTGCAAATCCAATACCAGGAAAATCCACGAGAGTGCAGAAGGCCTCAGTTTCCATTTCACAAAATAATATGATCTTAGAAATCATTCAGTCATTCAACAAACTTTTATTGACCTCTGCCCTGTCTGAGCCAGACCCTGGGTCAGGCAGACAGTGGTAGGCACAAAGTTTACTGAGACAAGGACTCATCCTGGAAGGACCTCCCATCCAATAGGGCACACATAGATGGGAACATAAAGAGAAATGTCCATCGCGTACGGAGATGGTGGCTTGTGACGTGTTGATGTTTAGATTGAGTACCCGGTGCTCTGAGCATCTTCAGTAGACACCAGACTTCGTGTCTTGGCCATATCCGTAATTTTTTTCTAATACAGACTGATATATAAATGTAGCGACATTAAGATGAAAATGACTGTGTAGGACCTCAAACCAATATGCAATCCAGGAGGTACACATACCACATTGGCCATCGGTATTTGGGCACATCATCTGGGCCTTACTTCATCTATCAGCAGATCTGATAATGCCTACCATACCAGTTAATAAGAATTCTTCCCAAGGAGATCCCTAAACCCCTGACATGATAATAGGCGTTTTCTATGTAGCAGAAATGTTGGAGTCTTATTTTTTTGTTATTTCCTAGAAATAAATGGTTAGGCTGCTATTTCCAGTATGAGATTCCCAATCAACCACTCACCCCAAACCACAGCCTTGCCTCCCCTCCTGGCGATTGGGGTCCCCTTTCCTGAAACTCTGGCAGAGTGATGTCACAGATGGGTGACCTCACTATGGCCAAGGAACTGGGAATCTCAGTGGCATGGGGGAGGGGGAAGGATGTTTCTCTATCACCCCAACCCCCCATGTCTGTGGTGAAGTCGATTGAATTAGTGCTGCCCAAGGATGCAGTGTACCTGGCCGGCTCCAGCATAAAAGGGCAGGTGATTCTAACCCTGAACAGCACCCTGGTGGACCCCATAGTGAAGGTGGAGCTCGTGGGAAGGGGTTATGTCGAGTGGAGCGAAGAAATCGGAGCATCGCGCGATTACAGCAGAGATGTTATTTGCAACAACAAGGCCGACTACGTGCATAAGATAAAGACATTCCCAGTGCAGGGTAAGGATGAGGCCTGCAGCCAAACCTAGTCATAACAGGGTCTGGAAAGTAAACACATCTGATAGTTGATCAACAAACCCCCAGGAATATCAGAAATTGGCAGAAGCCTGGTTCCTTTCTAGGAAGGAAGGCATATAGAACAATGACCATCAGATACATGTAACACAAAAATAACAAGACATAAGGAGCTGACTGGAATCCAGATATTCAAATTGGAAGTTCCCCTTGGGAAATGTGCTTAGTCTAATGACTGCTTTTGGGAGGCCCATATAAAATCTTTGTTATTTTATAGATAAATCTTTCTCTGGCAGTGAAGCCCAGAAACACAAAATAAGGAGTTCTGTGTTCACAGGGAAAGAGAGCAGAAGCAGAAGAGTAGGAGAGACCTTCCCAGGAAGGAATAAACTAGTCCCCAATTCCACCTGCTCAGATCTGTAGTCTGAACAGACATCAGAGTCTGATTTGCTGGGGAACTAACTGTATGTCCTTTTCAAACTGTGCTCATGGGGATGTTTCCGGGTATTCGCAGTCAAGTGGAAAACTTGGCCAACACTTGGCTGAACAAAGTTTAATTTTAGACTTTTTAAATTTTAGATAGGGTGGTCAGGGAAGGTCTCTCCAAAGAGGTGACAACTGAGCACAGATTTGTGTGATAGGAGGGACTCCAGCCATGCACATATCTGGGGGATGAATGGTAACATGCCAGACATGAATACTCTGTAATTATGTTACCTCTGTCTCAGTTAACCCATCTGTAAAATGGGAATAAGAAGAGGTCCTACCTCGTAAGATTGTTTTCAGGACTTGATGATTTCATGGCATGTAGAGGACTTTAGAATAATGCCAGGCATGCTGTAAGTGCTTGATAAGGATTAATTCTTTCAATTACTACCGAGACACTCCCCTTCCCCATATAACAACTGCCAGCATTAGACACGCCCTTTTCACATTTCCAAGAGACCGATTTTCCCCTCAAAAGCATGAGTCTGAAACCTGTGATGGGGTCGTTCATTGATTCAACAAACGTTTATGGGGAGCCTATGGTGCACAAATACTGTGCTAGGTGCTGGGGTTGCAGCAGAGAGTAAAACAGACAGGGTCTCTGGTGTCTTCGGGATTGTATCCATTGGGCGATAATAAGAGGGCTTCGGATAAATGCAAGAAAGAAAATAAAACAAGATGGTCACAGAAATGGGGGTGGTATGAGAAGGTGCTCTTTGGTCCTCAGCTGTCACTCAGTTGGTCAACCAACAAAATTAAGCACCTACTGTATGCCATGTGCTGAAGGTCAAGCTCCATGAGGGCAGCTTTGTCTACCTAGCTCACTGCTATACACACCACCTAAAACCATTTCTGGCACACAGTAAGTGCTCAAGATGTGGGGTTATTTTTTGCTTCTGTTTTGACAGCTGGCCAGTATGCGGACCTGAACCCTTGACCTTGGTGCTTGGTGTTATCAGCACTGAACTCTAACAAAGGGAGCTAACTGGCCAGTCCCTAAGTCGTGTCCATTGAATCCCGAAGGCCTAACCTCCAGTCGTTCAGGCCCAGAGAGGGGGTATGCAAGTCCCCGTCAGTGATTTGGGGTGACCACCTCAGCCACATCACCCACCCAGGGCTTCCCTCTTCTGCCCACTTAATATTTATGGGCCGGGCAGGTCCCTAAAAACACAGAGCTCAGCTTAGCTGGGACAGATGAACCAAGCCCAGAACCCGCCTCCCTACCAAAACAATAAAGGGGGAAAAAATGAAGAAAAGAAAGAAAGGAAGATTCTAGAACCTTCTGATGGCATCGGTGTGTTTCGCTTTCAGATAATTGGTTAAGTGCAGGCAGCCACACCTTTGATTTCCATTTCAACTTACCTCCCAGGCTTCCTTCTACCTTTGCTAGCAAAATTGGCCACGTCTTCTACTACGTACAAGCTTCCTGCATGGGCCGGGAACACATTTTAGCAAAGAAGAGGATGTACTTACTGATTCAAGGGACTTCGGACTTCAAAGAAAGGCCATTCCAGGTACCGATGGGGAGGGGCAGGATGGGAGTGTCCTGAACGCTCCAGGGAGGAAGGGGGGAGGTGGGCGGGCAGACAACAGGGAAGGCCCCAACCTGGGAAGGGTGTTAGCAGCTCCTCAGGCCCAGCAATTTCATGAAAGGTCAATCAGAAACCAGGGCAGGAAGGAAGTGATTCTTAACAGGGGCGATTTTGCCCCCTAAGGGACATCTGGCAACATCTGGAGACATGTTCGGTTGTCACAACCAGAAGAAGTGTTATTGGCATCCAGTAGACAGAGGACAGGGATGCTCCTCAGCACCCTGCAGTGCCCAGGATGGCCCCCCATAACCCCCAAAGTCAAAAGGGGTATGAGCTAAGGAAAAGAAAAAAGGGAACGGAAATTTTGTCTCTCAGGAACACTTCATAGTGTCTGGGGACATTTGTGGTTGTCACAACTGGGGGTGCTCCTGGCATGGAGTGGGTGGAGGCCAGGGAAGCTGCTCAGCTACGTGCAGTGCCCAGGACGGCCCCACCATGGAGAAGGTTCCAGCCCCACACCCACAGAGCCCTGGGGGAGAAGCCAGAGTGCAGAGGAGATATTTATTTATTTATAAGTGACTCGTAGTTTTAAATGTTTTTAGTTTTGTTTTGTTTTTTGTTCACTCTTTATTCCTTTTGTTTGTATTTATTTTTCACTTCTCTTTAACTGACTCATCATTATGAAAAATTTAAACCTAAAAGAGGAGGTCTCTAAACTTGGGAACAAAACAGACAGCCCCGCCACAGAAACAGCACCAGTGTCCACAGTGCCAGGGTAGACCCCGCCTGTAAGTCAAGACCAAGAAGAGGCCCCACTGTGACCTTCTGGTAGAGATGCCTGGGCCTCAGTCCCAGGAAAAGGAAGGGCTGTGCCGTGTCTGGGCCCCATCCTGAGGCCAGGAGCCAAGGCAGAGTTGCAGTGGGTGGAGAAGTGTTTTGACCAAGGCCACCTCACCTCCCTGGGAAGTCACTTGTTAGCAGAGCATTGAGATGTGATGACTGTCGTCAGAGACCCACCTCATAAAGGTCAGGGAGGGTCCCAAGAGGAGTCAGGGATGCTTGGAGGGTGGACCAGCCCTGAGCCTGGCTAACCTGAGTTCACCTGCTTCCTGGGTGACCTTGGGCGCGCCATGTCCCCGCTCTGGGCCCACCTGCTGAGAGCTAATCTATAGGACATGGGGCACAAGGCGGGAGTTCGGCAGAATGTGAGCATTGAGTCAGATGTGCTGCCGGATACTTGATTAGCCGGATGGCCTTGGGCAATTAACAGCAACTCACAGAGCCTCAGCGTCCTAATCCGCACAATGGGGCTGATAATATTTCCCTTGTTGGAAGGTCACGAGGACCACAAAGTGCTCCGCACAGTGGTGACACGTAGGAGACACCTAGCAGGTGGTGGGTGGTCAACAGGGTTATCACGGAAGAGTGGTCAACAGGGTTATCACGGATGCATTTTGGTAGTCTGGAAATAGTGTGTTTTTTCAAGTACTCAGTATTGTTTTATTTTATTTTTATTTTTTTATTTTTTCCTTTTTGTCTTTTTTACTGACCAGCAACGGGATCGCAACCCTCGGTGTTGCGCCCGCACCGCGCTCAGCCAGTGAGCGGGAACCGGTCTCCACGTGGGATCCGAACCCTCGGCGGGAGCGCCGCCGTGCTCCCAAGCGGCACACTCTCCAGTGCGCCACTGGGCCAGCCCCTCAGTATTGTTTTAACCAGACTGGTCAAAGGAGTCCTTTTCCAGGAGGTGACATTTTAGCAGAAAGTTGAAAGAGGGGAGGGAGAAAGCCATGGGATATCTGAGATAGAGAGTTTCAGGAGGAGGGCAGAGGACATGCAAAGGCCCTGGGGTAGTACTGTGCCATGGCTCCCACCTTCCTGTGGGGAAAAGCCCAAGTCCTTCCCACAAGGCCCAGCATGACCTGCCCTGTCCCCTCCCTGCCCTCCCATCCTTCCTCTCTCCCCCTCGCTCCCTCTGCTGCAGCCACATGGGCCTCTTCGCTGTTCTCCAATGCACCAGGCTCAGTCCTGCCCCAGGGCCTTTGCATGTGCTGTGCCCTTTGCCCAGAGCACTAGGACCTTCCTATCTTTCATTCTCAAGCTTCAGATCTTTGCTCAGAAACCACGTATTCATTCACCTGCATTGCAGATGGCCGAATAAACTGCCATGACCCCCATAGACAGCAATTTAGCCATATCTATCAAAAAAAAAAAAAAAACAGCATGCACTTTGCCCCAGCCATTTTCGTTGGTAAGGGAATTGTTAATTGAGTTATCCAGCCAAAGAAATACTCTGCCTCCTTCCTTTCCATGGCTAAGTAATATTCCAGTGTGTGGAATGACCCCGTTGTCTTCATCCATTCATCTGTTGATGGACACTTGGGTTGTTTGCACTTTGGGGTTATTATGAGCAGTGCTGTCATGAACATTCATGTACAAGTCTTTGCGTGGACATACGTGTTCATTTCTCTTGGGCATATGCCTAAGAATGGAATTGCTGGATCATAAGAAAACTCCATGTTTAACCTTTTGAGGAGCTGCCAGACTGTTCTCCAAGGCAGCTGCACCATTTTACATTCCCACCAGCAATGTATGCAGGGTTTCAATTTCCCAACGTTCCCTCCGTTCTTTGTACCTGTAGAATTTTGAAAGAGGCGCCCAACTGCCTTTACCAATAATAGGTACCATTTGAGGACGGAGTTGTCCCAAAGGCCTTTCCTAAGCATCAACTGTAAGGGAGCCCCTGTTCTGTGTCCTGCAAAGCCTCATCACTGTCCCTATCAGAAGTGACCTGATCCATTTCCAAATGTACTGTTTTTACGGTCTGTCTTCTCCACCAATGCAGGAACTGGCTGGTCTTCACTGCCATGGGTTTTCCTTGAATTTGGCATTGAGTAGATGCGAATAAATACTGGTGGAAGAAAAGGAATATGGGATTCTAAAAAACCCCAAATCCAGGAAATCCAACGTTGAGTTCACACCCCAACATTTTTGGGAATCAGGGTACTTTGACCACCCCGCCTGCCTTGGTGTGGGGGTCTCTGCTGGGCCCCCATTTGTACCCCTTGATACCTTCTTCAGGACCAAGACAGAACTAGTGGCTTTGTCTTGAGTTAGGGCAGTGGGTTCATTAACGTTTGCAGTGTCCTAACGCATACCACGAATTTTCGAATAAGACTAGAGAGATTTAGAATGAAACTGCCTGCAATTAGCCTTCAAGAGAGGAGGGGGAGCTCGTGGGAAAGCTGAAGAGAGGCAGGGGCCAGAGGCAGAGGGTGGGAGGTGAGGTCGGAAGGGGTCAGGGGTCACCCCAAGGTCTCAAAAAGAAAAGACACCTGACCTGAGCAGTATTTTTCAAATCTTGGGTCACGACCCATTAGTAGATTGCAAAAATCAATGTAGAGGGATGCAAACATTTTTATGAGATTAGAGAATAGGCAAGACCAGAAATAGACAATATCAGAAAAAATCAATTTAGTGAGTTGCACCCACCATTTATTATTATGGGGGCGGGGGCAGGCAGCTGACCAATCTGATCAAGATTGGAACCCTTGATCTTGGTGTTACCAGCACCAAGTGAGCTAACCAGCCAGCCCTCAATCAACTTTGTTAAAGTGAAAGAGCAGAATAGAAAATGTCAGAAAATATAAATTTGACAGGTTGCAAACAACGTTATGTTCATAAAATCAGAGGAGGACAGAATAGAATATTATTGAATAAGTAAGATAGAATAGAAAGGATCAGAAAAAAATTTAATTTGGTGCGTTGTAACCAAGTTTTTAAAAACAAAATAATAGAATAGAGTAACTACAATAAAAAATAACAGAAAAATAAACTCGAAGAGTTGCAACCAACATTTTATATGTGAATGGAATACACAGAATAGAGTACAACAGAAAATATCAGCAGGCATGTGGTAAGAACAAGTACTATTTCATGAAAATTCTTTCTTTCTTTTTTTTTTTCCTTTTTGTCTTTTTTTCGTGACCGGCAATGGGATCGCAACCCTCAGTGTCACGCCCACACCGCGCTCAACCAGTGAGCAGACCAGTCTCTACATGGGATCTGAACCCTCAGCGGGAGCGCCGCCGCGCTCCCAAGCGCCACACTCTACCAGTGCGCCACCGGGCCGGCCCCGAAAATTATTTCTTTTTCACAGATGTAGATGTAGATGGAAATATAGATTTGTATTCTATGTCGTACTATTAAAATCTGTGTTTTAACTGTGAGTTGTGGCTTAAAAAATAAGAATATAGGGCTGGCCAGTTAGCTCAGCTGGTTAGAGTGTGGTGCTGATAACACTAAGGTCAAGGGTTCCGATCCCTGTACCAGCCAGCTGCCAAAAACAACCACAAAAAAACACAAATAAGAAGAATATATGCAAAATACCGTATGTGGTCTGCAAAGCCTAAAATAATTATTCTCAGGCCCTTTACAGAAAAAGCCCACCAGCCCTGTCCTAGAGCAACTCTTGTGTGTGTTAAACACAAGAAAAATGTCTTCAGGATGCTCCTTATAACACTTTTATGATATCAGACACATGGAAACAATATAAATGTCCAACACGGAGGTAGGAGGGATGGACAAACGAATTATTTTGTAATACACATAACTGCCATCATGAAAACAAATGAACCAGAATGACAGGCACTAACATGAATGAATTTCAAACACAGAATGTTGAGCAGTAACATACACAGCCCGGTAAAGTTATATTTAAACTATTAAGGGACTGGCTGGTTAGCTCAGTTGGTTAGAGCATGGTGCTGATAACACCAAGGTCCAGGGTTTGATCCCTGTACCAACCAGCCACCGGTATTGAAATACATAGGATGGGGCCGGCCCGGTGGCGCACTGGATAGTGTGCCACTTGGGAAGTGCGGCGGCGCTCCCGCCGAGGGTTCGGATCCCACATACAGACCGGTTCCCGCTCACTGGCTGAGCGAGGCGCGGGAGCGACACCAAGGGTTGCAATCCCGTTGCCGGTCCCCGGTCTGGTACGGGGGCAACACTGAGGGTTGCGATCCATTGCCGGACACGGAAAAAGACAAAAGACAAAAAAAAAAAGAAATACATAGGATGATGCTATATACTCCTACAGCAAATAGATGTATTCCTACCTAATATAAAGATTTGCATGAGAAAGGGCTCGTTTTATAATTATTATTATTATTTTTTTAAAGGTGACCGGTAAGGGGATCTTAACACTTGACTTGGTGTTGTCAGCACCACGGTCACCCAGTGAGCAAACCGGCCATCCCTATATGGGATCCGAACCTGTGGCCTTGGTGTTATTAGCACCACACTCTCCCAAGTGAGCCACGGGCCGGCCCTCAGCAAATAGATGTATTCCTACCTAATATAAAGATTTGCATGAGAAAGGGCTCGTTTTATAATTATTATTATTATTTTTTTAAAGGTGACCGGTAAGGGGATCTTAACACTTGACTTGGTGTTGTCAGCACCACGGTCACCCAGTGAGCAAACCGGCCATCCCTATATGGGATCCGAACCCGTGGCCTTGGTGTTATCAGCACCACACTCTCCCGAGTGAGCCACGGGCCGGCCCCGTTTTATTATTCTTTACACACTTTTTTTTTTTCTGAAATAATATATCTTGTTTAGGCACCTACATAAATGAATAAATAGGTATAGCCACAAGGAAGTGATAACTATAAGATTCAGGATAGTTGCACTTTGGGGCAGAGGGAGGGACTGGGCACAAGTGATGGGCTTTGGGGAAAATTGGCAAATCTCTTCTTCTTGACTTGGGTGGAGTTTACAGGAGAATTGAACTTATAATAATTCACTAAGTTGTGCATTGGTCTAGTGGAGTTTTCTGTATCTGCATTGTATTTCGTAATCATATTTAAGAGTTTTTAAAATGCATACATATGATAAACAGCAAATTCAGGATAATGATTATCTCTGGGGAGGGAGAATGGGGAATGGGATTGGAGAGGGGTCTGCAGAAGCCTCAACTGTATTTCTGACGATTTATTGTTATTCTTGTTTTATCTTGAATTGTGGTAACATATTCATAAAATAATATTTACCATATTAGCCATTTTATGAGTGTCTAGTTCAGTAGCATTAAAATACATTCACACTGTTGTTTTCTTTCTTAACAATAAATTTCTCCACGGATGGTTTATTTCTTAAATGAGCAGAAATCTGAAGCAAACAGAGAGAAATCCTAAACCTTGCGAAAGCAGGTAGAAGGAACATAGCAGTGGTGTGCTAGTAAATGATTAACAACTGGCTCTGGTGCAGACTGGCACTAATTCACAGTGTTTGCCAATTTCCATGGTGTAAACATTCCCACCATGGCCAGTTTCAAACAGCTTGATGTAACTAACTCATGGGGCAGTTGCAGGGGGAGTTGGGAAGTATTTGTTACATTATTCTCTCTCCCATTTACTTATTTTCCTATGCTTAAAGGGAAAACACACACACACACACACACACACACATACACACACTTGTAGAAGTATCAAATTCCTTTGGAAGGAGAAACAGAAGGTAGCAGAGGAGAGAGGCAGTCAAAGCCCACCGCACATCATGTCAAACCTTTTTCTGTGTTATCCACAAATAAGAAATAAAATGTTACCTAAGCTACACATCAAATATAATGTATATGTGACTTTATTTGCAATCCAGCAGCTGATTTGTTAATATGACACTGCATGGTGAGGCTTTTATTCAGCCACATCTCATAATTTCAACTCTAAAGTTTTCTTTTCATGATTCAGAGCCCCATAATATTTTCTCCTTAAGTTGGAAATATCTGGATGAGCCCTAGGTCTTGGGCTTAGACTTTAAGACATTCCTTGTCTTCCAGAAAAGCAAGGCTCAGAGAAGTCAAGCCACTTGCCCAAGGTCACACAGCGAGTGGATAATGGAGCTGAACATTAAGTTCATGTGTCTTGTGGATTTCTTAGGCCTATTTTACAGATTTAAAAAAATGATATTCAGAATGGTAAATAGCCTTAATTAAGGGAAGCTGGGAGATGAACACCAGGCTTTGAGCTGCAAAATCTCCAAGGCTTCATTTTCCGTCTCTGCGACCCTTCACAGGAGAGTCCCCAAAGCCCCAGAGGCTTTGAGGAGCTCTACTGGTGGAATGGCAGGAACACGAGTGGGTCTTGTGGCCACAATCCCTCACGATTGCCCATTCTCTCTTGCCTCTTCTAGAACCCCCTCTTGGTGGAGGCTGAGAAGAAAGTCTCCTACAACTGCTGCAGTCAGGGCACCATCTCCCTGCAAATCCAGATGGAAAAGAACGTCTTCACACCAGGAGACAAGGTCGTCTTCACGACGGAGATCAACAACCAGACCAACAAATGCATCAAGACGGTTATCTTTGCCCTCTACGCCCATGTGCACTGCGTGGGCTTCACGCCCAGCACTGAGCGGCGGTTGCGGATAGATAGCAGCGAGCTGTTGCGGCAGGAAGCCAAAACCCAAAGCATCCCCTTCAACACCACTAAGATCGTCAGCACCTTCAACTTGCCACCGGTGCTGTCCGTGAGCGGCAACACCCAGGACAGTGACATCATGAACACGCACTATGAGCTGGTCATCAATGTGCACCTGCCCTGGTCCCTGACCAGTGTCAAGGCCAAGGTTCCCATCATTATCACCAGCACCCCGGTGAATTCGGCCGGCTGCATGCTGCTGGAGGGGGCGGTGTCACCCACAAGCCAGGATCACCAGAATTAAGGGCCCAAACGTCTAAATATTAAAAGCTTTATCAGACTCTACCAGAAGTCCCTTGTCTTGTGAAGAGACTCTTAGACGAGTCTTGGCATAGGCAGAGCATTGGCTGCGACCTCCCCAGCTCCAGCAGGCTTGGCATCCCTGTCTCCCATCCCAAGAAAGATCGTCAAATGCCAGGAAGGGACAAAGGGAACCAAGCAGCCCTGGTTAGCACTCCATCTCCTCGCCAGTCTCCCCCCGTCTCTGCTCCAGCCTCACTGGGCTCTCAGTGTCTAGACCAGGGGTCCTCAACTGGGGGTGATTCTTCCCTACAGGGGACAGTGGTAATGTCTGGTTCTCACAACTGGGGGGAGAAGAGGTGCTACAGGCATGGAGTGGGTGGAGGCCGGCAATGCTGCTCAATACCTGGGGTGCCCAGGACGGCCCCACAACAGAGAATGAGCCAGCCTTGAATGTCCACAGTGCTGACACTGACATCCCCTGCATTCATTATTTGGAGAAAAAAATCAAGTTACCTCCCTAGCTCACACTAGACACCAGAATAGACTCCCAATGGAGCAGATGGTACAAACCAGGGCAACCCCAGTTTCTGGGATTTACCTCCTCTCCCCCCCCCACTCAGTGTGTGGATTTAAATGTGTGCAGCCTCCTAGGACCTCAGTAGCGCAGGTGATTATGGGGCACAGTCTCTTGGGAATCGATGGAATCCCCTAATGCAGGGGGTCTCACCTGGGGTGATGTCCAGGGACATTTGTGGTTGTCACGACCGGTGGGGGTGCTTGGAGTGGGTGGAGCCCAGGGACGCTACTTAGCACCTGCAGTGCCCAGGAAGGCCCCACTGCAGAGGACGATCCAGCCCCAGTGTCCACCGTGCTGAGGGGGAGACGCTGGACTGGGACAATTCATAGGGGCTGGTTGCTCTTCCCTCCCACATCTGCTCTGTGGGTCTCTTACCCGAGTTAGATCCTGCGTCATCTCTACCAATAGCCTTCCTAGGGGTCCTCCACAACACACAGGGTAAGAGCCAGAGTCCTCCAGGTGAAGAACCCACACTATCTGCCTATGTCCAATCCATCAAAAAGGTTGGGGGCAGGGAATGCTGGCAGGTTAGCTCAGTTGTTTAGCACGTGGTGCTGATAACACCAAGGTCCAGGGTTTGATCCCAGCCACCAAAAGAAAGAAAGAAAGAAAAAAAAGGCAGAGGGGGTCTTTCTCCAAAATCTACCCAAATTGCTCCCACTTCTCTCTCTCCTCTGCCTCTGCCCTGGTCTGATTCACCATCATCACTTACCTGGACCAGTATAGTACCTCCGCCCCGATCTCCCAGTTCCTGCCCTCGTCCCCACATTCTATCCTCCTAGATATGGTTGCCAGACTCAGCAACTAAAAATCCAGGGCACCCAGTTAAATGTGAATTTCAGAGAAACAATCTTTTTTTTCTGGCAGCTGGCCAGTACAGGGATCTGAACCCTTGAACTTGGTGTTACAACGCTGCACTCTAACCAACTGAGCCAACCTGCCAGGATACAAATTTTTTCAGTGTAAGTATATCCCATGCCATATTCGGGATGTACATAATGCTTTTCAAAATATCATTCGTTTATCTGAAATTCAAATTTAACTGTTCGTCCTGGATTTTATCTGACAATCGTATTCCTGGAGCAACTAGAAGACTCTCAACACCAACTAGGCCACCCCACTGCCGAACTTGAAATCTCCGTCGAGTCCCCACAGTCCTTGAAATTAAATCCAAATGGCTCAAAAGGCCCCGTATGGTCAGGAATGGAAGAATGAGCTCAGCGCTTGTCTTTTTGGGGTAATGTCTCTGAAATACTTCTCTAGCCACCCTCAGGCAGCAATATACCCGCATCTGCCTCTATCTTCTGCGCAGGCATGAGGTCTATGCACTTGAATGGTGGGCCCTGCGGCATTCCGGAAGATTCTAGAAGATGAGACCTCTCTGTAGGGTGATGCCAACTGAGACACTTGTTTTAGTTCAAAAAAAATTTTGGGAGTGCAGCCTCGTAACACCAAGGTCAAGGATTCCGTTTGCTGTATCAGTGAGCTCCAAAAAAAAAAAAAAAAAAAAAAAAAAAAAAGTTTTGGGAGCCAGGGCAGTAGATAGAAGGCAGAGATTTTTTTTTTTCTAATTCTTTTTTTTTTTTTTAATGGGAGAGACCTAGCCTGGGTTCCTCACTTTAAGTCACATTCTTAGGCCTAATTTTGCAAGAGCTGATCAGGGTGGGGGTCCTATCATTCCAGAGGGGGTCACTGCTGCACCAGGTGGGGATGTGCACCTGTTGGCTTGCAGATGTGATCTTCCTTTTGCGTGGACAAAAGAATCTAAACTCCACGGAGGGCACCCTACAGCCACACCCACTTCCCAGAAACTTACAAAAAGGCTTTGGTGGGGGGGTGGGCTGGGATGGTCTTTTCTGCCTTAATGTCCTGGGCCCCAACCTGGGTATCCTGCAGGCGCTGGAGGCCAGGTCGGCGTCAACCCCACAACCTCAGAAATAAATCTATCTAGTCTGCGTTCACTGCATTTGGTTTTTGCTTTCTTCGAAGCTGGGAAACACCCAGGACCCAGTGTGGAACACAACTTGAGTCTTCTTGTTTTATCTCTTTAGTATCCTTTTTTAATCTAGAGCTGGCCCCTGCCTTTTTTTTGGGGGGGGGTTGAGGAGGAAGGGCTGGCCACTACAGGGATCCAAACCCTTGACCTTGGTGTTATAACACTGTGCTCTCACCAACTGAGCTAACCAGCCAGCCCTGCCCCTGCCTTCTTGTGTGTTTTATGACTCATGTTTTCAAGCTTTGGGGGTCAGGTTGCCTTGTAGACCCTCTCACAATCTGATTCAGGTTATGCATTTTTTGGCAGTGACATTTCAGAAGTCAATGTTTTGTCTTTCTCAGTGCATCGTATCAGGAGGCACATGACATCATTTGTCCCGTTACTGGTGATAGTGTGAATTTTTTTTTCTTTCTGACCCGAATAAACATGGCTCTTTCTTTTCATCAGCATCCATTATGAAAACCAGTATGAAGTTTACCATGGGAAACGAACATATCCACATTCAGTGCATTTTCAACAGTCTGAGCATTTTTTTTTTTTTTTGTCTTTTTCCGTGTCTGGCAACGGATCGCAACCCTCAGTGCTGCCCCCACACCTCGACACCTCGCTCAGCCAGTGAGCGGGAACCGGTCTGTATGTGGGATCCGAACCCTCGGCGGGAGCGCCTCCGCGCTTCCCAAGCGGCGCACTAGCGCAGTGCGCCACCAGGCCGGCCCCAGTCTGAGCATTTTTGTTGTGGTTAATAATTACTGACCCTGCTAACGTAAAAGTATCCTTTGGCTATTGACAGTACTACTGTTAGTGAAATGAGACTGTTCATTTGACTAGCCTAGAACTTATTTTTGAATAGTTTTTGGCCCCAGGCTTATGATAAGTAATTTGTTATTGATAGAAAAGTCATGCAGTCTAATTTAAACCAAAAATTAAGGGAATAAAATCTACACGCATCAGCTGAATTCCGTAAAATAACAGCCTAAGATGTGAACGTTGATCACTTGGGTAAGGGGGTGTCAGCCAGATCTCCCCATTACAGATGCCTCTTTCTGTTTGTTATAAGAGGCTGTGTGACTATCTTGTCTCTTACAACCTTGCAGCCAATGGGTTCCCCCCCCTTTTTTTCCACCCATATTTATCAGTGGGGGGTTGTTTACCAACTTCAGTGACACTAATGTTAATAAGTTCTGATAACCCACTGCCCGCAGACCAACCTCAGCTGGTGGTTTTCGTATCCATGGGTGTTTCTGGCTTGAATCAGTTTTTATACTGGTGGTTGCAAAACAGTGCTTAATTGGCCACAATAACCAACCACATTGTACATCGACAAAATAAAATAGAATAAAATATTTTTTAAAAAAATAGTGTTTTGGGGCCGGCCCATGGCTCACTCCGTAGAGTGCGGTGCTGATAACACCAAGGCCCCGGGTTCGGATCCCGTATAGGGATGGCCGGTTCGCTCACTGGCTGAGCGTGGTGCTGACCACACCAAGTCAAGGGTTAAGATCCCCTTACCGGTCATCTTTCTTAAAAAAAGAAAAAAAAAATAGTGTTTTTGCCAGTCCTGTAGACACTCCTACACTTGCGTTGTTCAGCAAAGAGGAGCTTTCTTTACTCCCACCCCCCCACCGTCTTTCTAATCTCCCTGCAACATTCCTTTTTTTTAAAACTTCTCAATATACATTGTAGTTGATTTTCATGTCACTTTTCCCATTACTCCCCCCCCCACAACTACATCATATCTGTTCACTTGTCTTAAGTTCAAGGAATTGTTTTGATTGTTGTGTCTTCTCCTCCCCCCCCCATTTATTTGTTTGAATATTTATATTTATTTTTAGCTCCCACAAATAAGTGAGAAGGCTGCAACATTTTTTTTTTTTTTTTTTGTCTTTTTGTCTTTTTCCATGTCCGGCAATGGATCGCAACCCTCAGTGTTGCCCCCGTACCCGACCGGGGACCGGCAACGGGATCGCAACCCTCGGCGTTGCTCCCGCGCCTCGCTCAGCCAGTGAGCGGGAACCGGTCTGTATGTGGGATCCGAACCCTTGGGCGGGAGCGCCGCCATGCTTCCCAAGCGGCGCACTTATCCAGTGCGCCACTGGGCCGGCCCCAACTGCAACATTTTTTATAGCTGACCATTTCCTCATTACTCAAACATCCTCATCCCTGGACTTCCCCATGCTGTAGACTTCTTGTTCTACTCCCACCTCCCTGACAACTCCTTTTTGATTTTGAGTTTCGGATTCTGCTTTTTTCAAAGCCACAGCATCAATGCCTCTTTTAGGAAGCCTTCCAGCCACGCCAGGCAGAGCCTCTCACCTTCCCCTAGCCTCCTCCCTCAGGTCCTAAAATGGGGATGATCTTCAAGGTTCATTTCCACACCCCATATCCCACTGATTGCACCATATTTTGAACTCTGGAAATGCTCGGCCAA